TAAGTTGTAAAAGGCGAAAACAATGCATATTTATTTGTCTTTCCCCGCAGTTTGATATGTTGTGAGATGAGATTTATACCTTACTCGACTCACAAACAGATTATTTCTGAATAGTTCGGTTCCAGGTTCGTCGTAATTATGGCCTTTTGAATCATTCCAAAGACAGCATGTAACTTTTGAGTAAATTTCCGCGGATTTTTCACAAGGAAGATAGCGATGATGATATTAGACGTGAATATAAATGTGCTTATTAAGCATTATAGCTAGTAGCACACGGACCTGTATTGGTATATACAGTGTTCAAAATAACCCCTCCCCCTCCGGAATGAATGGATAGTATCTAAAACTACCAAAACTTTGCCCGCATATGCTTTACTACTGGAATCTATGTTATTCGGCGGTATAAACTAAAACGTTTAATTTCCAAATTCCAAACACCATTGATCACCACCAAGACAATCTTTGCCAGAAACTATGGGACAGCTGCTGTAATTTCATATAATTTGAAAGGAATAGCGCCCCCCGTTCCCCCAGTTCAATGTTGGGCCAACAAAAATCTGATGTCTGGATGCGCGGCGCCAACATTGAAACGGGTGGGGGGAGGGAGGGTGGAAAATATGTATCAGGAAATGGTATATTACAACCGAATGCATGTGAAAACTAGATTGTCCTAATCTATATTGTCAAAGATTGTACATATAAGGTCAAAACAACATACACACGCGTTCAAAACCACAACAACGTTTAATTCAAACACTTCAAATAATCTTACATTATTGTTTGTTAATATACACGTTTAAACTACCGATATTACAATTGGAAATAAACCCATTCAATAAACCCTTAAATCGTTCTTCCATCCTTCACGGCCAACTATCCAGGTGTTGCACGGAATCTTTTACATCCCCAACAAGATTTAAGTACACGTTTCGTCAGCTTGCGTAGTCGGGGAATCCAAAATTTTTGTCGAATCTCAACCATAGTCAAGGTGATATTCCACCTGTAACGTTGTTTTTGGGCTTTCGCCACTAATTTCTCTGCAAGTAAGGTCGAGTCCGAAATGAACACGGGATACTCTCCTACAAGACGTCCTTTGCATACGAGGATCTCATCAGAATTATTGACCAAGTTCAATTGGGCCCGATCTTCTTCGAACTTAGGGTCGCTCATTCCTTCCTTTTGTGCTCTCTTGTTCCAAAAGGTTTCCTGACGTGATATCTCTGTCGTCGTTAAGGGGCCCCAGATTTTCTCGAAGGGTGTCGAGAATTGTGCATGAACCGCGAGACCCAAGCACAAATCCTCATGGCTTTACTCAAGCCGAACTTTTCAAGGACTCGGTTGTGTGACAATGTTAGGGGGCCATTCTTGGGGATTGGCCAGCCAAGTAGGACCCTTCCACCACAAGTCTACACCAGTCACGCTTCCGCCCCGACTGCCAAGATCTGCTGGGTTTTCTCTAGTGGGAACATGTCGCCAGATAACATTTGGATGACTTTGTATCTTTCTTACCCGATTGGCAACAAACTGTCGATACACACCACGATCACTTATCCAGTGGAGGGCGACAGTACTGTCCAACCAACACTGTATATCTGGATCCAGACGAAAACCGTTGAGGGATTCACGAACATTCGCAGCAAGGTTGAACGCCATGTGACCTGCCACAAGTTCTAAGCGTGGGATGGTCAGACCTTGTTTCGCGATACGAGACTTGGCTGTAATCAAACCTTGTGTTGTTCCTGACTCTTGCGTTACGACTGTGTACACTGCTGCGCTGATTCCTTTACCACTCGCGTCGCCGAAGGCATGGATTTGCACCTTCTCTATTGGCTCTTGATAGGATACGAGACTGCGTTGTGTTGAAACAGACTCACAGGAAGATCACCTTCCCATGTTTTCCACATGGTAGCGATGTTTTCAGGCAAGGGGGTATCCCATGCAATTTTCTGGTTGCAAGCTTCTCGATAAATAAGTTTCCCTTCTAATGTTACCGGGGACACAATTCCCAAAGGGTCGTAAATTTGGGCTAGATTTCCCAGGATGCCTCGTTTTGTCACACTGGCCGACTTATCTGGAAAGTTCACGCTAAGAGTATCCTCTCGCTTGTTTCAAGGAAGGCCTAGAAGTTTGCTCTCCCCTTGACATGTAGGTTGACCAAGCTGCTGCTTTGCAAATGACTGTTCGTGGTCAGCATCTGAATCGGTCTCGGGCTCCTCCACATTTGAATTCCATTTATGAAGTTCAAACTGAGCATCGTTGAAAATCTGCGACGTTTCATCCTTGAGTTTCTTTGCTTCGGGTACTGTTGTCGCTCCTGAGATAAAGTCATCCACATACATACTCTTTGAAACTTCAGTAACAGTTTCTGGCAAACGATCCTGCCAGACCTCTAAATGCTGCTTGATGACACCATTAAGGAGGAAGGGAGAAGGAGACAGACCAAACAATGCTCTAGTAAAGCGTAAAGTCTCCACTTCTTTCGATTCTAAATCAACCAGCCAGTGGAACCGAAGCATGTCTCGTTCGGATTCCCGTATACGAATTTGCAGGAATGCTTGTCGTAAATCTCCCGACAGTGCAACAGGATGGATGCGGTTTCGCATTAGTACACTCCACAACTTATTTTGTAATGGAGGGCCAGCATGAAGACACTCGTTTAATGAAGGTGCGTCGTCAGAGGCACGGGCAGACGCGTCATATACAATGCGCAATTTCGTGGTCTCGGAACTTTCTTTCACGACTGGTCGATGTGGGATATAGAACTCTTTACCACTTACTTGCTCTGGAGCTTTCTCAGCAATACCGCTTGCTAATTGATTACGAATCACCGCATCATAGTCAGACAGCATGTTCGTTCGGCGCAGCTTCCGTACTAATGAATGTAATCGGCAGATACTTCCATCGTAATTATTCGGAAGTTCAGGGTGGTTCCCTTTCCACGGCAATGCAGACTCGTACCAACCGTCCGACGAACGGGTCTTTAAATTCTACATACACATCACCTTGATCTCCGGTTGGGGTGTCGGGTAACCCTAGCACGTCTAGGGCACACAGACGCTCATAATCGGTTGAGGAGTTAATGGCCAGATAAGCTTGTGACGAACTGCTGTCCACACCGGGTGACATCAGTCTCCATCCTAATCTCGTCAATTCTGCAACAGGATCACCACGACAACCTATTCGTAAGCATTCGCCCGTACAGATTTTTGCAAAATCATTCGCTCCCAAAATTATGTAGACTGGGAGTTCGCTCTTTTCGTCATCGTCATCCATGTACACGCCTTTCAGGTGGGAATGATCTTTAATTATTTGCTTGTGGTGGGGATTGTCCGGAGTAAGTAGCTCGCGCTTGTCTATCTCGGCCGCATTCACATCCAAACGAAAATCACTGTTCACGGACTGAACAACAACATCATAGGTCTTCATTTTCTTGGTGGTCACACCCATAAGCATCGCAATCTGACGTAGACTCGAGGATCTCGGTTGAACATTTACAAGTCCCACGAATGTTGAGGGCACATATGAATGACTAGCCCCGGAATCTAAAAGGGCTCGAAATTTGTAGCCATTAACAGTGAGTACTACTACGGGGTGAATGACCGCAGACTTCCCAATCTGACTTGCAGTCATACCAGGCTCACGTATTTCTGCTTGGTTGGGGGGTTGGTCGCAGAGAGATGTGTGATGCTTTTTCTTGCAGTTTCGACAAACTGCAGTGCTTTTACAATCAGCTGCCCTGTGCTTGGACCCTGTGCAATTGAAGCACAGTCTCTTGGCAGCCAAGATTGCACGTTTTCCTCAGTCTCGCCTTTAGCAAATTTTTTCTCTTCGACTGATTCTTTTAATGTATTAACCGTAGAGGTACTGTTATCTATCGATGCCTTGTGTCGCGTTAATGCTTCTTTATCAGATTTCTCAATTAATTCGTCGGTTTCGCTAGTCTAAAGTTCAATATTTTATTTTTATTTTTACTTTGAAGTAATTTAACTCGAAAACGACATCGGTGAACCCCAAATTTTATTTCATAAGATGATTTCCCTTCGTAAACTCAACTATTCGGACTTAATTAAAAAAATTCTCTTGAGCCGAAAAAAATTATTATGAATAATCACATTTACGTAATTTGAAACATTTTGCCTTAACAGAATTGTTTAAAATTGTCAGAATAATTGAGAAAACGAAGAGAAATCATTTTATGAAATAAAATTTAGGGGTCACCGATGTTGTTTACGAGTTATTAAAGTTACTTTGAAGCCAAAATATCTGCCATGTTGAAACGTCATTGTTGCCATAGCAACGGTACTTACGTAACTTTTGTGAAAAATTTCCTTTGTGAAAAACTCATTAGATGTTGTTTTACATAAGCACGATGCTTTTTGTTGTTCAACAAGTAATACTTATCCAAAAATACGGATCTAAATCGCAAATTTTCCATTTGTGAAAAACTGTATCGAGCCACCTTGAAGCAGTTTTGAACATTAAAGGTTTGTTTTGACAACCAAAACCATCTTTAATTTTTGAATTTTTATTATTTTGATCAATGATCGTATCATTATAATGGAACATTTTACCAGTTTGTGGCCCTGTCTATTTCTTATTTAACCACAAGCCAGCCACTTACAGTCTTTCTACTGGTATTTTACAAATACTCTGGTCATGTCCTTTGATCACAAATATGTTTTAGGGAGTGGTCATTATTTATGGGGAGGGGGGTTGGTAAATGGGGAAAATAAGGATTAAAAACTTGTTGACCCCTCCTCTCCAGACTGAAGGCAAACTTTTTGTGCCTCCCCCTCTTAAAAGTAGAAACTTTTCTGACCCCCCCCCCAGTGTGGATTGAAAAATTAACAGCAATGAAACAGGTGTGCATTGCAGGTAAAGTTAGATATTAGGACAATCTGTTTAAATCTAGCTCATGATGTTTTACCCTGGTGAATATGATTCAACCATATATGATTAAAAATATATATTATGTGTTACTACTTTGCAATGCAACATTTGTCCTACCATAACCCTAACCCATGACCCGTCTTCATACAGCGAAATGATTTGAACACAGGTTTTTTTTAAGAACTTGTCTGGGGGGTGGGCATCTACAAAAAGGGACCATACTATATTGAGTGTGGAGAGATGACAGATGGTTGTTGGTGACAAAAAGTTTGGTGTGGTATCGTATGTACTAGGGGTCTGGGGGTATTCTCCCCCAGAAAATTTTTTTTATTTTTCCACCCCTAGAATTGAAATGTGAGCATTTTCCTCTGAGCATTTTCTGAAACAGATTTTTGGATATACAGCGTTACATTGTGCGTTGATAGACCGAATCTGATCAGTTAAGTGTACTTGCATGGTATGTTTATGTAAATACCACAACTGGGTCACTCAGGGGGTAGAAAGCTTGTTAAATTTAGTGGGCCCGACTCCCACGATCGCGAAGCGCTACCATGGTTGGCGCCGAGCAGGGAAATTTTGAATATTTTGAGTCTCTAGATCGTTGGAAATAGCATTTTCAGAGTCTTCTTTTTTGCTATTTGTGATTATAGAAATCAGAACTCTAGACATGGTATTTAAGTTCAAAAACTTTTTTGACCCCCCCCCCCTTTCTCTGCATTAAAACTTTTTTGACCCTCCTATTTATAAGGGTAAAACTTCATTT